AGTTAGGGCTGGACCAGGTGACCCTGAATCCTCCCTTAGTTATGCTGCAATAGATGTAGGCTGCCGGGGGATTCCCATGATGCATTGATTTTTTCCTTTCCAGTCACCTTTCTCACACATTGAATCGTACCTGCTCATACCTGTTCGTACTCTTCATGTTAAAAGGGAGTTTTCCCTTCCCGCTGTCGCCAAAGTGCTTGCTCATAGGGGGTCATATGATTGTTGGGTTTTTCTCTGTATCTATTATTGTACGATCTATTGTGCAATATAAAGCACATTGAGGCAACTATTGTTGTGATTTGGCGCTATATAAAGAACATTTAATTGAAATTGAATTGGCGTATTGAGTCTGTGTTTGGGTCCTGCCTCCATGCGAACTCCGTCTGAACCAAAGTTTTCAGTTGCCTGATCCCACTTATTGAATCAGTCACTCTTTTGGCTTAACCATAAGCACTTTTCCCCTGTGTAAACACATCTTGCAACACATTGTCATTGTGATGCACCTGTGTTGCATAATGGTAAGCACAGGTGGCAATAGTCAAACACAATTAAAGCTCAGGTGTCACCAGTTGAACACAACAACTCAAAATTTATCACACTTGTGGCTAATGATGTGAGGGTACATATCAGCCAGAGCACTGGTTTGTGAGGCACTACAATGGATAGAAATCCAAGAAGAGGAGTTTGTGTGAGAGGAAGTTGAGCAGGTCAAGGTGTTTGAGGTGGTCACTGAGGACAAAGAACAGTAATATCAGATGAAATCAGAGCTACTGTGATTGACCATGTTCTTGTCCATGGTATGACAATGAAGAAGGCCGGACAAAGGGTACAACCAAACATCAGTAGATTCACCGTGTCTCTCTAAGAGAAGAGAACAGGTAGTTACCTTTTTTGACATCATAGTATGTAAATGTTGACAGCAATTACATATGTACAATGACTGTACTACATACTGTAACACAGTAAACATGTTTAGGTACATCACTGTGCCAGTGTACTGTAGTATTGTAATGGAGGGTTAGTCTGACTGTTTGTAGGCCTATTCCATGGATATATTTTTGTAAGTGCATGTTCTCTTTTTGTAGAATTGAAAGACTGCCACATGGGGGTGGTAGGACATCTATGTTCTCCCCACACCAAGAGACCCTAATTGTCGACATGGTCTGTGAGAACAACACCATTAAACTGCGTGAAATTCAGCTGAGGATCATTGAGGACAATGTGCATTTTGAAAGTATCGACAGTGTCAGCCTCTCTACTCCTGTCCTCAAGCGCAACAGACCGTGCATGAAACAGCTGTACAAAGTGCCCTTTGAACGCAACTCTGATAGAGTCGAAGAGCAAAGATTCCAGTATATACAGGTTTGTATATATCCAGATACATAAATGTTGGTTACTGTAAGTAGTGATTTACTGTAGTTGGCCTACATCCCTTACAAAAATGTATACATATATATTTCTACAGAGAGTTTTTGAACTGGACGCAATGGAAAAACTCCATGAATGCATCTACATGGATGAAGCTGGGTTTAATCTTACCAAAAGAAGAAGGAGAGGCCGTAGTGTGATTGGCCAACGTGCCATTGTTGGTGTCCCTGGGCAGCGTGGTGGGAATGTCACATTGTGTGCTGCCATCAGCAATCATGGTGTTGTCCACCATCATGCCAACTTAGGGCCCTTCAACACTCACCAGCTCTTCATCTTCCTCAATCACATGTGAGATGCTCTGTTAGGGCAGCAGGATGAGCAGCCCATCTATGTTGTTGTTTGGGACAATGTTTGGGCCTCCAGGTTAAGGAGTGGTTCAGTATGAACCAAGGTTTTATCAATCTTTGCTTTCCACTGTGCTCCCCTTTCCTGAACCCCATTGAAGAATTCTTCTCCTCGTGGCGGTGGAAGGTATATGAACGCCAACCTTACACCAGGGTAAATTTCCTGCAAGCCATGGAACTGGCCTGTGGTGGCATGGGTGTGGAGGCATGTCAAGCCTGGATATGGCATGCCAGGGTTTTTTTCCCCCGTTGCCAGGCCAGAGAAAATGTGGCCTGTGATGTAGATGAAGTCCTGTGGCCTGACCCAGTATGGAGAAATGATGCTGTGGCGGAGTAATGCACTTTTTTCCTTTGTACTTCATTTTTATATTTGTGTGCTTTATTTCTACGTACAATTGCTACATGTAAATGCACAGGATTTCTGTTTTTTGGCAAATTCTCTTTTCTATGTACAAGTGTTAGAAATGCCCAGGTATTTTGTTTTGCAACATACATTTAGACTAAATAAACATTTATTTCTACCGCTTTATGTCCTGAGCATTGTGTTTTCCTTTTTTCTATGTAGTGTTTAGTGAGTACTCAGTAGAGTATATAATTTAGATTGACTTCAAGCATGATTTGACGGCATGGTTCAGTTTTGAGCACAGATTGAAATGTTTTGGGGTGAAAGTTTGGTTTTGCAAGAAGAGTCAGAGGTTTTGTGAATGTAGCTTGAAAACTGGGTTTTGTGTTCACAGTTTGGGGAAAAGGAGAGCAGCTTTTCAGGAATGTGTCTTAGCAATCGTGAAAAACTGTAAGTCTGTGCTCTCCAGTCCTTTCCTGGATGCCTGAGCGTGAGTGTTGGACTGAGCAGTGTAGTGTGTTTGTGAGGAGTGTGTCGGAGTACAAGAGCGGAGCAAGTGTACGAAGGAGTGGAGTGTGAGGAGCGAGGATAGTGGAGCGAATGACGAGTGTGCATTTCTCCCCACTTGCCGTGAATCCCTGGAGCCCCTGACCTTCCCCCCCACTTTGAATATAGTTCACTTGCTGACTGTAAAGACTGTTTGCTTGATTTCCAAGTTTGCACGTGAGTTCTTATTTTCTTTAATACGATGAGTAAAAATATATCTTATATCTTTATAGCGAGCTTTGTTATAGAGCAACAAACTTTTTGGCTAAATAATGTTCTTAAGTACTGATATGACATTTCGTATGAGTTATATGAGTCAGTCAAGTACTTATGTTTTTAGATTTTGTTTTTCAGAGTATCCAGAGCCATACAAATAGAAGATGTAACATTATTAAAGAGATTATTGACTTCTTTGCAGTTTTAGGTAACTGCTCTTTAACAAATTGTGCAATCTAATGACTGTTTCATAAAGTTGCATACGATTGGATACGCAAGCATCTTTATGACACAATCACACATTAAATGCTTATTATTTGTTCTGTAAAGTGTCCTTGAGTGTTTTGAAAGGCACTTTTAAATAAAATGTATTATTGTAACCACTGAATTGGCACACAGGCACAGTAGCCCTCAGTACATTTTTTTGACAGCCATGTTAACATGACACAAAGTTACTTTCCTTTATGAAGTTGGCTCGCCATCTTCTCCATCTGTACTAGCCATTAAGAGGGTGTAGTGTTAGAGAGATGTAGTGGGACACATTTAACATAGACCAAGCTTTCTTTCATTTTGAGCTTTTGTTTTTTTAATTGATCCAAATGGTTTGACAAAATCCACTGAAAACAATCAAAATACAGGTTATTGTAAGTGTGTGAGCATTAACTTCCAATCAACCTTTATCCTGTCATTTAGGGGATGACATCATATTTTTGCAATATCTGATGCAATATAGACATTTTACATTCTTATGTCTAATTTGATTGGAAGAAGGAGCTGTCCAATCAAAACTTACTATTCTTACAAGCCTTACAATGAGAGGTTCAAATACGTCCCAGTAAAAGCAAAGTTGTTTGACTGAGCTCAGAGGATTTTGTGAAGTCTGATAAAGAAGGTTTACCACGTATTTTATCAATATTTGCTTTGCCTTTTTTCTTCTCCTCTTCAACTTCCAAACGGAATATGTCTTTACAGAATGCTTCAATCAATATAACACACTTTATTATAGGTGGTTTTGACACACTCAGTAGACCTATTGCTGTTGGTGTGGTTATACTAATAGCCTATTTTCTTGCTGTTCTTGCCAATATGGCAAATATCATGTTTATTATTTCTGACAAGAGATTACATAAACCAATGTATCTTCTGATTTGCAACCTTGCTGTTGTTGATATAATGTACACCTCCAGTTGCAGTCCAACAATGATTGGGGTTCTACTCGCAGGTGTTAATACTATATCCTATGTGGCATGTTTAATTCAAATGTTTGTTTTCCATTTGGGAACAGTGATGGAGTCATTTGTTTTAGCAGTTATGGCATTGGATAGATTAATTGCAATAATTTATCCTTTCCAGTATCACAGTTATTTAACAAACACACGTGTTCTTGTTCTTACATTTATCGTGTGGTTCGTTAACTGTTTTTTTATGTGTTACATGCCTGCAACAGTTGTCCCCCTCCCACACTGCAGCTCCAGGCTTAGGTACACTTTCTGTGACTTTGCTGCTGTGTTAAGAACAACCTGTGTTAACCCAGAAAAATATTTCAATGACGCTGCCATTATAGCATTTTTTATTTTCTTTTTCACTTTCGTTTTCATTTGTCTTTCATATTGTGGAATCTTACTTTTTGTAAAATTATCTTCAAATAATGAAAAAAAGAAAATGGGGAGCACTCTTGTGAGTCACTTGATTTGTGTAATTGTTCATTTCTGTCCTCCGTTTGTGCGCATTATCTTCACCAGGTTTGGCGTGGTATTAACTCTTGAGGAACGCCAAGGTTTATTAATTGGTGCAGTCCTCGGTCCATGTCTTGTAAATCCTTTTGTGTACTGTCTTAGAACAAAAGAAATTAAACAAAAGCTCTTTAAGATTTTGAAAAAGTTTCACACATATGACTGAGATCTTGTGAACTGAGTGTGCTTTTTATTTTTATTTTTTAGATAAATACAGAAATATCCCTAACTGATGTCGGTGTAAATTTTCAGAACATTATTTTACAAAATGGTTGAAACACCAACCATTCACTTTGATTCTGGGACAGAAGTGAGAATTATTTTACTTACACAAGATATTTGCACCTTAACTATTCAATTAAAATCATACAAAATTTAGAACAAAAGTTTTTAGTGTAACTGTTTTTGTGTCTGTGAGCAACAGTATGCCTTTTTCCTGCTATGCTGTAAACAATCATATTTTAATCAACAAAAACTAATCAACTTTAGTAATCATTTATTTGAACTCCCTCAATAATACTTTTGCTCGTTTCCAGACCTTCAGTTGTGTCTGATCAGGTGTTTGGAAACTAAGGGCGATCGTGGCTCAAGAGTTCGCCTTGTAGTCGGAAGGTTGCTGGTTCGAGCCCCGGCTTGAACAGTCTCGGTCGTTGTGTCCTTGGGCAAGACACTTCACCCGTTGCCTACTGGTGGTGGTCAGAGGGCCCGGTGGCGCCAGTGTCCGGCAGCCTCGCCTCTGTCAGTGCGCCCCAGGGTGGCTGTTGCTACAATGTAACTTGCCATCACCAATGTGTGTGTGAATGGGTGGATGACTGGATGTGTAAAGCGCTTTGGGGTCCTTACGGATTAGTAAAGTGCTATACAAATACAGGCCATTTAAGGATAGTATTTAATACCTGAAAGCAATCAGTTTTTATTACATTTCAAAAATGATCAAAATGAATGAATGGCTCCTACATAGTTTAGATAGCTAAGAGAGTATACTGCTGTATTTTCACAGACATTTCAGTTTGGTTTGTTAAATGATCCTATATCAAAAAGACATAAAACAAACAAACAAAAAAAGTTGCTCTGTGTGGGGGACATTTGGAAGGAATGACACAAGTAACTTGGCTCCCAGTAAAAGAATTTGCTTTTTTGTATTGGTAACATCCTCCTCTCATTCCAAATAATTGAGCACTACTAGCAGCAACTCTTACAGCTCCTCCCATAATTTTGCACTCTGAAAAGGAAACTTCTACACATAGATATACAATAAGATCAGACACAAAGACACCTTTGTGACAGATTCTTAAAGCCTTACACACAGCCTCTGTTATGCACATAAAATCATACATTTTCAAAAGCCTGTTATCTACTTGTTTTCTTAATTGGAGAAATTGTGAAATTGTTTTTTTCAAACAAATTTGTAAATTACTTAATATAATGTTTACAGAAGTAGCCAGTGACGGTTTTTGATATGGGGACATGGGCCATTGCCCAGGGCGGCATCGTGGTGGGGGTGGCATCATGGCATCGGCAAAAAAAAAAAAAAAATTGCTCGCACCCATGCTGCCCTGACAACATGCCAGCGCATTTTGGGGATTTCATAGGCACCGAACTATTGCCCATTTGCGAGAAGTAAGGGCGCACTCCATTTACGAGGTGCGCCTGCTGCTTTCTACACAAGGAGGAGAGGGGCGGGACGGCGGAGGATTCTCTGGCTAGCTGGAGCACCTAATAACCAGCTCGCAAAATAAAAAAAAACCCCAAAACAAACAAAAAACAAACTAGCGCCATCAACGTTAACGCTGTCATTGTGATTAATGCTAGGACTGGGCGATACATCGAGTTTTTAAATATATCGATATATTTTTTTATACGAGATAAGAGATGTGACAATATTATTTATATCAATATAGTTTATGTTACATTATAATTATTATAATTATTATTATACTTGTGGAGCCGCAAGTTTGCCTCTCCTTTGTCCACTTTGTCTCTGCGCAACGTTACTCTGCCTCCCCCTGCACCATCGCTTCAGCTGCAGGCAACACGGCAGCTATCAAAGAGGAGCTGGTCGGTAAAAACAAAACATTTGGAGATTACTATTTTAGTGCTGATAGTGGTA